GTATGTAGGTACCTTAGTAAACTTAAAGCTTAGTTACAACAAGGAATTCCCGAATTTCCCACGGGTACGGGAATTCCCGAAATTCCCACGGGAACGGGAATTAGCGGGAAAAACCTTTTGTATGAAAAATCTAAACTGCTTAAGTTAGACGCTTGAAATTTGGTATGTAGGTACCTTAGTAAACTTAAAGCTTAGTTACAACAAGGAATTCCCGAAATTCCCACGGGAACGGGAATTCCCGAAATTCCCACGGGAACGGGAACTAATACTAACAGTACTAATACTGGAACAATTTTCTTTTCACAACACCGATTTTTTTAGTATTAATTTGGTTTCGATGGAGGCATTATAATCGTAACTCTGAAAATGAATCGATTACTTATATCAAAATAGCTAAGTAATTAAATTGAAAAATCACGATAAAAACTAAATGGCCAAAAGTGGGGTTCTTCGTGCACCACTTTTGGCCATTCATGTGGCCAAAGATGGGAAAATTCATTCATTCTGGCTCCATTAGTGGCCACCTCTCATAAACCCCTTAATAAACAAATAGCGATAAAATATCATTAGTACCACTTAGACAGTGTATTCTTTATTAAGGTTTAACATAAACATTTAAAAAAATAAGAAGGATTTAGAAAATAATGATTGTTTACTCACCCGCTCGCCTTAGCCTTTTTGCTAAGACTTGAAACAATTAACGCTTCTCAAAAAATAATGACTTGTTGGATTGAAGTGAAGCTTGACACATCAAAGCTGTTAACGCTATCAGTGTTGCTAATATTAGATATTTTTATTCCCGTAAACCATAGAGTAATATATTAGTCTTTGCCTTAGTTATAACGATTTGAAGTTCTAAATGGCCACAAAGGGGTCGGTGGCCACAACCGGGTCACTTGCCCTAAGCAGTGTTCTTAAAATTTCTAAAGTAAATAAACAAACACTTACTCCCAACGGTTTCCAAGGAAAATCCGCAAATTTCATTAGTTTCTTCTCAAAGCTGTTTAAGTTAAATACGAAGCAACCTTAATAAAATTCATGCCTGAAGATTCTCCGGGATTTTTTCAGTAGAATCCGAAGTATTTGTTGCTGAACAAAAAGGAAAACTGGTATTGGAGACGGCACGAAATAGGACGGGGAAGTTTTACAAACTACCGCCCACGACACTATCGCGGCACACAAAGTTTTTCCACCCATTGGAAATTGTTACGCTGTGCCTTGAGATATTCTCCTTGTTAATGGTTTGCTCATTTATTTTAAACAGCTTTTGCCCGCGGCGTCGCCCGCGTGCAATTCAGTTTGTTACAGATAGACCGACTAACTTGACACTTTAGTAATAGTAAAGTTTATAATGAAATTGTATACGCATAACTATTGAAATTATTCAAATTTCATTACCTAATTCAGCAAATAATTATTTTGGGTTTATTTTTAAATCAAGTACTTATCACTTAATTAATGAAAAAATCGATAAGTCAGCTCAACTGAAACGATTTTATTAATATGTCGTCCATGAAATAAGAGCACAAAGTAAAATTCTTCGTAGAGCTTTCCTTATCTCTAGTGAATTATTGTATACGCTTTAGGTTCGGTCATTATTTTACTTGAGGGCAACGATGTGTAAAAATATACAATATCTGTTTCAAAGTGAGGCAAACCATCGTAACTTACGGCCTGAACACGGAAGCTAATAGATAACTTCACATAACAATAACTTCAACTACTCAAGTATTCACAGAGCTGAAAACTAGCTCATAACTTGACGTGAGGGTAAATTGACACGGGACGGTGGGAAACTATTTCCCATTCTACAGATTATCTCCTATTTGTTGTCGAAGTTTTCAGGGCGAATAGTCCATTTTACAAAGGAAAGGCTCCTTTGCTTTTGCCAATTTGATAGCTTTTAGGAGAATACATACAAACTATTTGAAACTCTTTAGCTGCTAAACAAAGACGTATCGTTCTATGTTTACATATTTTTGCTTACTAACCTATTTATTATCGTAGATCGTAGTGGATACTTTTGGCACAAATAGTAACATTTTTGTTGAGCTATTAACAGGTATTCGCAAAAAGTAATAAAATTTATTAACTGTAGATAGACCAAAATTAAATAAGAATTATTATCAAGTTATACCCAGTTTAATTCAATATTTATCAGAGCCAGCTCCTTACTTTATTTTGTTATTAGGTCTCTTATCTTTTCATTACGATGTGCTTTGCCCCATTAACCTTTTTTCCTTAGTAATAGAAAAGTACCGACGGCATTTTCGTTGCTCACATCCACTTTTTTTATTAAATTTTGATAACAAGGATAGGCATCATTTCAATTTTAGTCTTGTGAAGGTGATTTCACTGGAAGAAACTGGATCCGGGCATCGCAGGACCGGTCGTTATGGAAATCCTTGGAGGAGGCCTTTGTCCAGCAGTGGACGTCATTTGGCTGTAAAGAACGAACGATTTTTTTTTTCAGTTGATGGTTGACAGCTTGGGCATCATGCTGATGTCTCCGCTGGCAGTCCTGGCCGCCTGGTTGTCTGGTCGGACGCTCGCTGGCCTGATGACCCAGGATAGCCACGCCACGCCCTGGCCACTCGCATCCACCTTCGTACTGGCTTGTATGACCCTTGTAAGTACGGATATTCCGATACTAATAAATACGAGTAGGTACTCGATACTATTGATTCGATACCAAGTATTTATTGTATCGAATCAATTTTGCGATACATAATCGGTATCGAAACAAAAATACTTGGTATCGAATCGAATCAGCAAAACAACCGAAAACAATAAAAAAACCGAGAACGCATCATACAGAACTGAGAGAGCAAAAACAGTCAGCTAATCAGCTTTAATCGGTTACCGAGTTACCGGTATTCGTCGCGTGGCGGCGTGAGTGACGCGTTGTCTCGCGCTGGCTTCAGCCGAGCCCGAGCCGAAAGCTGATTGAGATGAAAGAGATGTTTTTTTCTCAATTTTGTTTATATTATTGTCCTTCAACGTTCATTGATAGCACCCTCAAAATAATAAAACAAAATAAAAGTTCCAAAAAGTATCGATATCAGTAACTATCGATACTTTAGGAGTACTTATTTAAGTAGTATCGAAAAAAGATTTGAGTATTATCGAAATGAGTAGGTATCGATACTTAGGTGGTATCGGAACATCCCTACTTGTAAGTAATTACTTATTGAAGTGGTTTCGTTGCGGTTGTGTTCTTTTCTTAGGGAGAAACTTGACCTTCACTGGTTGGATTTTTATTGGCGGTCAAGCTGTAGATCCTGGCTACACAGGAGTTGCAACGGTAAGAACGAGATGTCAGAATAACGAGAGTTAAAAATAGTCCCGTTGTAAATAATTACGTATGAATTTACGTCGTTGTAACTGAAAAAGACATGTGTCATATTCGAATGACAAGATGTAAACACGGTTATGTACCGATAGACGAAAGAAAACAAACATCTTACATAAAGTAACCTGTCACAAAAATATTGTCGTGCTGTGTTTCGCGGATGACGGATAGGTGGAAATTGCCTGATGTTCAGATAACAATACACTAAATTGTACTCATTTGTGCAATAACAAAAACCTTTGCCTTATTCCGGTTCGGTAAAACCTATAATTGAATGTTTCATCCAGACTTCTCGGCAGGAAAGTGAAGCGTCATTGTTTTTTTTTTCTAAAGTGCTTGTTTAGCCGACTATAAAATTAAATGTGATAAGGGAGGATTATTAACCTTTAAGTTCGTAAACGTGGATAATAGTAGGCAAATGAAACGAAACAGTGCTACATCTTTACGTCTTTACTGAAACTCAAGGGAAAGGGGAATATCATCTCATCTATCATTCGTTCGTTCGTTTCAGCCAAATTACGTCCACTGCTGGACAAAGGCCTCCTCCAAGGTTTTCCATAATGCAAGGTCCTGCGCTGCCCGCATCCAGGCTCTTCCCGCGACCTTTACCAGATCGCCGGTCCATCTAGTAGAGGCCTGCCCACGCGAACTTTTCTGCCCCAACTATCTATTAACATCTATCATTACCATTCATTATTTTATCAATAGAAACTTGAAAAGTTTATATACTTGACACTAGCTATGTGGCGGGCGGCGCAGGACCGTCTTTGTGGAAAACCTTGGGGGAGGCCTTTGTCCAGCAGTGGACGTCTTTCGGCTGAAACGAACGAATGAACGAACGAACTGGCTATGTGCAAACCGCACGAAGCCATTAATTGAATAAAAAAAAAAAGAAACGTTTCAACCGGCGATTGCCAAAAAGGGTTTATCCGTGACCGATTTCGCCATCAAACACCGCAGCGGCACCGCAGAGCGATCGGCATCCCGCTCCGATTCCTCCGCCTCGGGGAATTCCGACAAATTCAATGCGGATCCGATTTAAAAATACTCGATTTCGTGACAGAAACAGTAACTGGCACGGTATTCCGACCGTTGTAATTGAGCAATTAAAAACAATCCGTTAGGCTATGTCAGCGACTTTAGTTATGCTTCAACCACACCAATGCGTGCAGACCGCTATCGCCCGGTGCGATCACGACGCGATCATTGGGAAATGACAGGTCGTGTGAAATGTCATTGGCCTTTGATCGCGCCGGCGATGGCGATCTGCACGCGTTGGTGTGGTTGAAGCTTTACTTCACGGATCCTTCAAGCCTTGAGCCTTCAAGTTGTACCTTTCCAGGTGTGCTACTACTGCTGGATCGTATCAGCAGCGACGCGACACGCCCTCGGCTGGTGGATCTGGTATCGATCACAATATGAAGTCAGATTGCAGTTCCAAGAGAGCGAAGAGTAAAATTAAAATCACGAAATCCTGAACCAGAAAGAAATATTTTAATCAACTTTTTATAACGGACATTTTAGTAAACATAAAGCTTTTTTAAGTTTTAAGATTTCTAATTTATTTATTTATAAGTACATTTGATTGCAGGACGATTGTAAACATAATATTGAAAGGATTTTTTAATACGGTGTCAAAAGTCAAAAACAACGGTAAAATATTTTATTAATTTCAAATTAGTAACTGGTGGTTACATTCTGAGTTTGTTTTCAACAAAATGTAGAACTTGTGCTAAGATCTCCACAATAAACGCCTCGTTTTAAAAAATATTTGTTTTATTTAATTAGTGCTAGTTTATTCGATATGTTTTTACTGCTATAAAGTCTCTGAGCAAGAAAATTTTCAGAAGGCAATATTAAATTCTTTTCTTCCTTCTTTTAGTTGAGGCGTAATTTAAAGTCGCGCTGCGCCAAAAGACTCGAAACTAAGTTTTGTATTGAAGGAATTCCAAGATAAACACTGAACTTAAGGTAGGCCATTTGAATTTCTTGTTTTCGTGATTTTCAAAGACTGTTCTTCTGTTCCGAAAAGATAGCCAATATTTTTTATTTATTTATTTATATCATTCACTTTATCTGATTCTATTGTAAGGAACTATTTATCATACCTACTTAGTTTAAGATATATTATTACCACAGTGCAATAAAAACACTTTCTGAAAGTTAGCATCATGTATTGCTATACGGTTACAAAGCAAGACAATTTACCTTGTACGTGTGAGGGACTTTTTTCAAAAACTGTAACTATTTTTTCCAGGGTCTAAAACTATCTCTATTCCAAATTTCACTTATCTACATCGGTTCAGTTTTAAGCATGAATAGGTAACAGACAGACAATATTTTTTATTTATTTATTTATATCATTCACTTTATCTGATTCTATTGTAAGGAACTATTTATCATACCTACTTAGTTTAAGTTATATTATTACCACAGTGCAATAAAAACACTTTCTGAAAGTTAGCATCATGTNATTCTAGAAAAGATTTTATACGAACGCTTAGAGTCATATCTACAGTCCATAGAATTCATTAGTGATCGCCAATTTGGCTTTCGACCTAAAAGTAACACCTTGGCTGCAACACTTGATCTTATTACTAAAATCAGGCAAAATATTGATCGTAAGAATATCGTTCTGGGTATATTTATAGATCTTCAAAAGGCGTTCGATACCGTGAGCCATGAACTTCTACTTAGAAAGCTTGCAGTGATAGGGATCGGTGGCAACGCACTCAAAATGTTCACCTCCTACCTGAATGACCGGCTACAAATTGTTAAAATCGGCGATAGCCAGAGCAGAACTCTTCCAATTCATTACGGGGTTCCACAGGGATCCGTACTAGGCCCCCTGCTATTTTTAATCTACATAAATAGTATAGATAAAATTGGACTACACGGTCATATTACCTTATACGCTGATGACACCTGTTTGTTCTATTTTGGGCCATCCATGAATAATCTAATCTCACATGCCCAACATGATCTTGACACTCTCACAACCTGGTTGCAACAAAATCTATTAACAATTAATGCATCTAAAACTTCATACATTATTTTTAAAGCGAAGAATAAGCACATACCTCCATTCAACCCATTGACAATCTTCACTACATCATTACAAGAAAAAAAACACGAAAAATATTTAGGTCTTTATTTAGATAGCCACTTAACATGGAACGTTCATATTGACCATATTAAGAAAAAAATTTCCGCATTAATGGCTTCTTTACGCCCCATAGTACGATGCATACCCCGCAAATCAAGATACAATATATACAACTCACTTGTAAAATCCCACCTAATATACCTTGTTGAAATCTGGGGTAGTGCTTCAAAAACAAAAATATCCGAACTCCAAGTCTTACAAAATAAAATCATTAAATTATTATTTCATTATCCGTACCTCACATCCACTTCCAAGATTTATAGCGAAACACAAATTATGAACATTAAAAAATTATTTATGTATTATACCTGCCTGCTCATACGCAACGTATTGAATAAAACCATCCATACGTCGCTCACTCTGATGACGCGGTCAGAACAGGTTCCGAAGCGCACGCGCCGACAAAGAACGGTTAATGCAGATTAGTATGCTAGCATTTGTTTGCCACAGGTCGTTTCTGAACTCCGTAAAGAGAACTGCAACCGCCGCATCATCCTCCATCACGACAATGCGAGTTCTCACACCGCGCACTGAACAAAAGAGTTTTTAGAGCAAGAAAACATAGAATTATTAGTCCATCCGCCGTACAGCCCCGACCTAAGCCCTAATGATTTCTATACTTTCCCTAAAATAAAGAATAAATTGCGTGGTCAGAGATTTTCATCACCTGAAGAAGCTGTGGACGCCTACAAAACGGTCATTTTGGAGACCCAAACTTCCGAATGCAATGGTTGCTTCAATAATTGGTTTCGTGTATGGAAAAAATGTGTCAAATTTCGCGGAGAATACTTTAAAAAGCAATAAATACATTTTTAAATAGTAATGTTGTTGCACTTCCTTGATCCCGAAATTTTCAGTGCCGCCCTCGTATTGTTACAAAGCAAGACAATTTACCTTGTACTGTACGTGTTTCAAAAACTGGCACAAAAACTGTAACTATTTTTTCCAGGGTCTAAAACTATCTCTATTCCAAATTTCACTTCGGTTCAGTTTTAAGCGTGAATAGGTAACAGACAGACATTAGACAATAATATTAGCACGGATCTCTTTTAATTTTTGATAGAGCTGACGTCGTCCATCCATTCGGGCCAAGTCCTGATTTCTGCCCACAAGTTCCTGCCAGGACTCAAAGTGGCGAGTACTTGCTTGGCACCGATCACGTGATAGTTTGAGGTTAGGTGACCGTTCTCCACTCCACACCTAAGAAGGGCCTTCACTGCGTTCAATTGCTGAGCCGTTGGCACGTCAGCTGGAAATGAAAATTGGAAAAATTTAATAATGCTACTGTAACCGTAGGTTACGAAAGTCTGCAAGTAAAATGAAAGTGAATCTTATGGGTTTGCGCTAAAGTTTTATGAACCAGTTTTCCTTTGTTTTTTTTAGCAGGAAAGACTAATTACTAGCTCGCTTGTAGTGGTCCTGTATTTAGTTTCAAACGGCGAAGCTGTAATTATGTAATTATCACACCACAGCCATATTCTACATCTCTAAATTCAATGTGTACCTAATTGAAAGAAACATCTAATACATAAAATTCTCGTTCCACAATGTTTGTATCAAAGACGCCCGAAACGACTTGACCGATTCTTGTTCCTTTATTCAGGTCTGAGAATAGGAAGTTTATTCATACCCCTAAGTGATGAGGGTTTTTCAAGCCGCGGGCACACTAGGTCTATTATCGTATTAGGTAAAACAATCTTTACTTTCATAGTTCCCGATGAAGGAGATGCCAATAGAGCGTTTGTTGTAGCCGTAAGTGTGCGCCCCCACGTGCAGCCAGCCGGCCCCTTCGTAGACCTTGCCGTTGCCGCCGACGTAGAAGCTGAAAGTCACAAAGTATGCAACCTCCTTATTTGAAAAAGCCATAAAAGAAAAAAAAGAATTTAAATTTTAAATTCAAACACATCATCATGCTTTTCCAATTGGCGTTGTTCTATTGTTTTGTTTCATTAACTTTTTTTTTTCTTGGCTTTCGCGGTTTGCGTTTAGCCACAACGGTTTCATTAACATTGACGAAATAACTTAACTGTCCATAAAAAATAACCACAGATTAAACAGTTTGTGACAAAATGTTGGAGATTATTAGATGGATTTTTAGAAAATCCCTACTATTTCTTGTTTAAATAATTTATCTATTTATTACTTTTCGATCACCAGAAGTGCATTCTTGTCAGTGTTGACCCTATTAATATTGACTCTAGAGATAACCTTGGAAATGAACTACACTTTGCATTATCGCCTTAATAATATTATAAGGAAACAAACAGATTCTATTAACAACATAATAAATGGTTTACACAATGCAACATTACAAAATCTATAATTTCCCCCGATAAAAATACATAAACAGCTAATGACAGACATAAATTGGTCTATTCCTAGATTCCAGGCGACACTTCGGTGTTTTTTGATCACCTATGGATAAGATCACCTAGGTGATCAAAGTGGACTTCTTATCCATGAGTGATTAAAGAACTCCAAAGTGTCGCCTGGAGTTCACTTTGATCACCTGGGTGATAGTGGAATAGACCAATAAATTATGAATTAAAAGAAATACTCACGAAGAACCAATGTCCCACCAATCCATGAAGTCCATGAGATAATCCTGTATGCTCTTCACCTCATTCTTACAGGCTGTATCGGTGGTGCACATGGGAGTCGCTGTGTGCTGGATAATGACCAGGTCGACTGGCCTCGGCAGGTACTGAACATGGGTCGGTTCCAGGCCCCCCCATTGCTTCTTGGTTACAACGTCGCATTCTGAATCGTAAAATATCGTTTTTCGTGTTATCATATTGCTAAAGCTTCAACCACACCGACGCGTGCAAATCGCCATAATAGGTCAATGACAGATCGCGCGGACTGTCATGGGTCGTGCGACCAGTCATTGGCCTAGTCGTGCCAGCGGTGGAGATCTACACGCGTTGGTTGGTTGAAGCTTTATGAATATAGAACAATGGTCCTGTCTACTCTGCCGGAATCACCCCCTTCTCTTGCTCATAGATGGCATAAGCCCTACTGGTTAGGAGACATATTATGCGAGCAAGCCATAGCCTTCCTAACCTGTCTGACCACCGTGAAAACTCTCCATTTTCTTCTGATAAATTAGAGAGGGAAGTGTTCCTGAAGTGGATTGTGATGATGATGATGATGATACCTATATTTTATGATTAAATGGATAAGAGTTGGCTGACTGAAACTTATTACATACTGAGTACGATAACTTGCAATTAGCCTAGTCCCCTAGAGTTCCAGAACTACCTGATAAAATAGTTACCTTAAAGTTTAACTAGCTTAACCTTCACCTCAATTGTTACAATGTAGGTATATGTGTCTTAATTATGTTACATCATTGAGTATATCAGGCAATACACATAATTTAACTTCCATAACTGACTAGGTACTAGCATTCGTTCAATAAATTGGAATTCATCACATAAGTAATAATAATAATAATAAGAAACCCTAAATGATATGCGAACTAAGATACAAGATTGGTCCCGGAAGTCTCTACATGGAAGACATCGCCATGACTTATGCCAACCAAATGTCGACAAAGAGGCGTCGAACGCGTGGCTGAGTCGTGGCGAACTCTTCCCTGAAACCGAAGGGTTCATGATTGCCATACAAGACCAAGTAATTGAAACTCGCAATTACCAGAAATACATTATGAAGATCCGTAACCTACCAACAGACCGCTGCAGAAAATGTAATAGCAACTCTGAAACCATACAGCACATAACAGGCGCATGCAAATCAATTGTGCAGACAGACTACAAACACCGTCATGACCAAGTTGCAAATATTATCCACCAAAAATTAGCTCAGCAGTTTAAGCTCATACCTCAGAAACTCACTCCATATAAATATACACCTGAACCAGTTCTTGAAAATAACAAATACAGAATCTATTCTGACCGTGCAATACTTACAGACAAGACAACACATTTTAACAGGCCAGATATCACCGTCCATGATAAAGATAAACACACCGCATACATAATAGACATAGCAATACCTAACACTCATAATTTGCAAAACTCAATAGCCCNATAAAATATTTACCTTAAAGTTTAACAAGCTTAACCTTCACCTCAATTGTTACAATGTAGGTATGTGTCTTAATTATGTTACATCATTGAGTATGTATATCAGGCAATACATATAATTTAACTTCCATGACTGACTAGGTACTAGCATTCGTTCAATAAATTGGAATTCATCACATAAGTAATATGTGATGAAAGTAATACAACTACGTTATGCTCATGCCTAAAATTTAATATCTGATCTGAATCTACGCAAATTACTAATTAAATTAAAATCATATTGGCTGATATTGTCTAAAGTAAAATCTATAATATTATTTTCTCACTAACAAGCGTAATAATAATAAATGATTGATTTATCAAATTAATACCAATTAGACTAATATATGCAAAGTTTTAGTGCTTGCATTAATGGAGATAATTTCTATTAATAAGATTTGTATTATTTCAAATGTGCGTAAATTTAATTTAAAAACTAACAAAAGAACTTACCTCCTCTCACTAGCTCGCAGAAGCAGATAAAAACGGCAAAAATATTCAACTTTCGGAACATTGTTAGCTTACACTAAACGACAACTTGTATGCAAAGTTATCCCAACACTGACGATGACGCTTACAAGTTTACAAGTTAAAGATAAGACTGCACCGAGCGGGAATAATCTGGGCCCAGTCGCCTGTCTTACTCACTCACCTACGGCGGAACAAAGACAGATGTAAGTTTGCAAACCTTATGCTTTATACGGCGAAACAATAAAACGGTTACGTATCACGTCACAACAAGAAAGGCCCGGAAAGAAAAATAATTATTTTCCTGATACAAACTAAACCAAATTAAGAAACCAAACTGTGTACAGTCGCCTTGAAGCTATAATCGTTACAATTTTGTGCTTCTGATAGTACTGTTACATCTTGCTCATGCCACCCCCTTAATCAGGATATTGATACAGTGTTGCCTTATGCCCCGGAGCCAGAACTCCTTTGTAGTCAGGAGTTACAGCTTGAAACCTAGTAAAGGTAGAGTCAACGGCACATCAGACTTTCTTGCAATAAAATGCATCAGTGTCAAGCTTGATGTGTTGTCTGTATATTAACATATTACTCATCATCATCGTCATCGTCATTTCACCCACAGGACGTCCACTGCTGAACATAAGCCTCTCCGAAATAGCATAGTGCTACATAATATGTTTTATAGAACGATGAGTTAACTCTGTTCTGCTAAGTAAAGTTGAATTAGATTATGCTTAGTCACTGATATTCAATTTTATTCAGACAGCGATATTTTCGCACTTCATACTCATAAATCATAATATTATTGTAATAAGAAATTAATACAAAATGTCGAGTAATAAGCGTCATCATAGTTATTTTAGTAAACTAGTTACTTGTGTCCATTAGATGACTCCATGCGATGACTCATAACAACACGACTCGTTAGCTCTAAAAGATCCCCTGTTCTAATACTACGTATATTTAGCTTTCCGCCCGCGGCTTCGCCCGCGTGTAATTTTGTTTGTCACAGAAAAACTTTATCACGCGCGTCCCTGTTTTAAAAACCGGGATAAAAACTATCCTATGTCCTTTCCCGGGACTTAAACTATCTCTATACTAAATTTCATCAAAATCGGTTCAGTGGTTTACTCGTAAAAGCGAGACAGACAGACAGAGTTACTTTCGCATTTATAATATTAGTATAGACTAGCGGCCGCCCGCGACTTCGTACGCGTGGATCCCGTTTTACCCCCTTCATCTATCTTACGCGGTTTAGATTTTTTCATACAAATGTTTTTTCCCGCTAACTCTCGTTCCCGTGGGAATTTTGCAATATCCAGTTGTAACTAAGCTTTAGGTTTACTAAGATACCTGCATGCCAAATTTCAAGCGTCTAACTTAAGCAGTTTAGATTTTTCCATACAAATGTTTTTTCCCGCTAACTCCCGATCCCGTAGGAATTATGCAATATCCTGTTGTAACTAAGCTTTAAGTTTACTAAGGTACCTGCATGCTAAATTTCAAGTATCTAACTTAAGCGATTTAGATTTTTCATACAAAAGGATTTTCCCGCTAATTCCCGTTCTCGTGGGAATTCCTAAGTATCCTATAACCTGCCCTGGAGTACGAAGAATAATTGTGCCAAATTTCGTTAAAATCCGTCGAGTAGTTTTTGTTTCTATAAGGACATACAGACGGATAGACAGACAGACAGACAGACAAAAAATTTACTGATTGCATTTATGGCATCAGTATCGATCACTAATCACCCCCTGATAGTTATTTTGAAAATATATTTCATGTACAGAATTGACCTCTTCTACAGATTTATTATAAGTATAGAAGATAATCCAGTTTGAAACCTAATGCCAACGACCCGTGCTTACTATGTACCTATTTATTACAAAAAAAAACATCCCATGAGTCATTATCTTTCAGTTTACACACCTAAACGCCATATAACGTTTTCCTTTTAACACAGAGAGAAGGTGTTTAGTAAAATAATCTTATTAATTAACTAGTACAGAGTAATTTTACCGACTTCGGCATCTTAACGATCTCACTTTAATACTCAAAATCTTTCGTGTGTTTCGGAGTAAGTATAAAGGCTACAATAATTCGTAATGAGAGTTTTAACAAATCTAAAACTAGCTTGAAATCTTAAAAGTTCCCTATTTGCAATATTACATTGATAAAACTAAATCCCATCAAAAACAATACTTGTCAAAAAAACCAAGTCTCGCAACTCAGTTGTTCTACGGTAAAAAGTTGTGAGATCCATGTAATACCAAGTCCAGGCCAGGAAATCTTTAACGTTTTACATAAATTATTGACTTGGCCATCGCACTAAATAATTTAATTTACACGTGTTTTCATGCGATGGCCAAGTCAATATATTTATTTTTTGTATTTTGTAAACAGTTCTACTTTTTTCCTTTTCGGTACCTTCTACTTATTGTATGTATATCTAACCAGCAACGAATTTTCTTAAAGTCCTCTCTCTGACCTATGAAATTTTCTTATTTTTGTAGGTAGCCTTCCGTTTTCTCTTTTCCGGTTCTACTTCTTGAGCTGAAAACTGGACCGAAATTGAAAAATGTTACTCGACTTGGCGGGGACACTACCGTGTGCCTTTATATTTAATTTTATATGATATTACAAACTTATTTAGGTAAGTAGTTAAATATTTATAAAACTGGACCGAAATTGAAAAATTTTACTCGACTTGGCGGTTGCACTACCGTGCCCCCAAATATTTTAGTTTTTCCTTGATTCATACACCAAACACTACTTATATTCCAAATTTGAAGCTTCTAGGTCTGCTAGAAGTGCCTTAGAATTTTGATGATCGGTGAGTCAGTCAGTGAGTCAGTGAGTCAGTGAGTCACTGAGTCACAAAATTAAGTAACTTTGACCCGTTATAATTCTTAAACTACTGGTTCAAATTGAATGAAATTTTAAATATACCGTGTCTTTACAATGCCTGCATAGCTAATGAAAATTCAGCCTTCTAGTTTTATCCACAACGAAGTTACAGGCGGTCGAAAATGGCCTGAATTGCTTCGAGAAAAGGATGGTACGGCCGTGCCGCTTTTTTGCTCGACTTGGTGGGGGCACTGCCGTGCCCCCAGATTTGAGAACTGAATATTAAAACAAATGCGTGTCGTGACACGCGCAGTGTAGGGTTCCGTAATTGACTTCAGAAGCAAGCAATTACCTACTTCATCTAAAAGTCACTTTTAATATTTTTAACCGACTTCAAAAAAGGAGGAGGTTATAATAATATGTTCGACTGTATGTATGTTTTTTTTTCTACGTATGTTCACCGATTACTCCGTCAATGAGGATCATTTCGATTTTTAGCTGTGAATGCAGATTTATAGGGCTAAGAAATCCTTAATACACAGTCCAAACATTTTTGTTCTACGACAAAAATTGACGAAGTTATGGCCAAATTACTAAAAAAGTTCACTGACCGCCCGGCGCGGGGACGATGACGTCACTATATCCGATCCGAACGCTGCCGGCGTAGTGCGTGGATAGAAAATATTTTTTTCTAGCCAAACTATCAGTTTTAGAGATTTATTCATGAGAATAAAGTAAGCTATCGATAGGTAATTTTTAAAAATAGAAATTGTGAAAAATATCGCAAAAAATCCATACGCTCATACGATTCAATGGAACGCAGAGACGCGATTGGGGTCTCCGCGGTGGTATATTTGGCGATTTATTCAAAATCTAAAAATGATACCATTTCAAAATTCTCTTTGGAGGGAAATATCATACAGAATAAGATTTAAATTGTATCCATCCGGAATACTCGAGCATTGCGGTGACACAAAACTAAGACAAGTGTTATGAAACTACTCTCAAGTATAAAATCTACATAATAATTACCATAGTGCAATAAAAACACTTTCTGAAAGTTAGCATTATGTATTGCTATACGGTTGCAAAGCAAGACAATATAAAGCAAGACTTTTACCGTTGACGTGACCCTCACACACTCTTTCAAAACTGGCACAAAAAACTATTTTTCTCAGAGTCTATAACTATTTTTAATCCAAATTTCACTTAGTTTACATCGGTTCAGTTTTAAGTTTGAATAGGTAACAGACAGACATTTATAATATTAACACGGATCTCTTTTAATTTTTGATCGAGCTGACGTCGTCCATCCATTCGGGCCAAGTCCTGATTTCTGCCCACAAGTTTCTGCCGGGACTCAAAGTGGCGAGTACTTGCTTGTGACCGATCACGTGGTAGTTTGAGGTTAGGTGACCATTCTCCACTCCACACCTAAGAAGGGCCTTCACCGCGTTTAACTGCTGAGCCGTTGGCACGTCAGCTGGAAATGAAAATTGGAAAAATTTAATAATGCTACTGTAACAGTAGGTTACGAATGTCTTCAAGTAAAGTTAAAGTTAATCTTATGGGTTTGCGCTAAAGTTTTATGAACCAGTTTTCTTTTGTTTTTTTTAGCAGGAAAGACTAATTACTAGCTCGCTTGTAGTGGTCCTGTAATTAGTTTCAAACGGCGACGCTGTAATTATGTAATTATCACACCACAGCCATATTCTACATCTCTAAATTTTATGTGTACCTTAGATTAATAAAACCTAGATAGATAGTCAGTGCACGAAAGGTGAGGCAGTTTTTAGGGAGCCGGCACGGCTCACCCGTAAACGTCACATGAACTGTCAAAGTGAAAAATTGGTAAACACGTCCGACGAATTTTAATTAATTAAAACGGTTTGTGCTGTGAAAGGGTGTCTAAAATACATCAGAAAAACGAAAGAAAGTGACCAGTGTTACATTGCATAAGTAAGTACTACAATTCGACGCGTATTTTGCTTGAATTTGGCTTTCAAAAATTAAATACGGGAATGATACCAGTTTAACAAGAAAATTTATTTCCCAATTGTTCGCCGTACAAATACACTTCCTTTTTTATGAAATCGAGACTTTTAAGTCGATTTATCTTATTGTAATTAGGTAGGTACTTTGAATTCAATAAATAAGTAAGTACATGATGCGTTTAGTTTTTGTTAATTATAAAATAATTAAAAACGTATTAAAAATTTCCCTACTTTCGGGAAAATCGCCTTCACTGTCTACACTCCCCAACAAAATTGACACTAATGACATAAGATTTTTGCCTCAGTCTTGACGAAGCGTTTGTATGAAGACTATCCATCTAGGTTTTATTAATCTAAGATGTGTACCTATAATTGAAAGAAACATCTAATACATAAAATTCTCGTTCCATAATGTTTGTATCAAAGACGCCCGAAACGACTTGACCGATACTTATGCCTTTATTCAGGTCTGAGAATAAGACGTTAACTATTTTTCATACCCCTAGGTGATAAGGGTTTTTCAAGTTGCAGACGCACTGGTGCCCGTTTTCACCATAGGTCATAGGTCATAGGTCTAGGTCTATTAATCATAGGACGTCCACTGCTAAAGGCCTCCCCCAATGCTTTCCATGTTACCCGGTTGGTAGCGGCCTGCGTAGGTCTATTAATAGGTAAAACAATATTTACTTTCATAGTTCCCGATGAAGGAGATGCCAATAGAGCGTTTGTTGTAGCCGTAAGTGTGCGCGCCCACGTGCAGCCAGCCGGCCCCTTCGTAGACCTTGCCGTTGCCGCCGACGTAGAAGCTGAATGTCACAAAGTATGCAACCTCCTTATTTTAAAAAGCCATAAAAGAAAAAAGAATTCAAACACATCATCATGCTTTTCCACTTGGCGTTGTTCTATTGTTTTGTTAACATTGACGATACAACATAACTGGCCATAATAAATAACCACAGATGAAACAGTCTGTGACAAAATGATGGAGATTTTAATGGATGCATTTTAAGAATATTTTAATTTAAAAAATTCCCACTATGTTTACACTTCTTGTTTAAAGAACATTTAATCTATTTATTACTTTATTACCAGAAGTGCATTCGTGTCTGTCAGTAGTGACAAAGCAATGTTGACCCCTAATATAAACTTACAGAGATTACCTTGGAAATGAACTACACCCACTTTGCATTATCACCTTAATAATATTTTAAAGGAAAACAAACAGATTCTATTAATAACATAATATGGTTTACATATTGCAACATTACGAAGCCTATAATTTCCCGCGAAAAAAATACATAAACAGCAAATGACAGACTGAATAAATTGGTCTATTCCTAGAATCCAGGCAACACTTTGGTGTTCTTTGATCAGCCTATGGATAAAGGTGATCAAAGTGGACTTCTTATCCATAAGTAATTAAAGAACTCCAAAGTGTCGCCTGGACTCCACTTTGATCACCTGGGTGATAGTGGAATAGACCAATAAATTATGAATTAAAAGAAATACTCACGAAGAACCAATGTCCCACCAATTCAGGGTGTCCATGTGATAATCCTGTATGTTCTTCACCCGGTTCTTGCAGGCTTTATCGGTGGTGCACATGGGAGTCGCTGTGTGCTGGATGATGACCAGGTCGACTGGCCTCGGCAGGTACTGAACATGGGTCGGTTGCNTTTAAATTTTAAATTCAAACACATCATCATGCTTTTCCAATTGGCGTTGTTCTATTGTTTTGTTAACATTGATGATACAACATAACTGGCCATAATAAATAACCACAGATGAAACAGTCTGTGACAAAATGATGGAGATTTTAATGGATGCATTTTAAGAATATTTTAATTTAAAAAATCCCTACTATGTTTACTTACACTTCTTGTTTAAAGAACATTTAATCTATTTATTACTTTATTACCAGAAGTGCATTCGTGTCTGTCAGTAGTGAAAAAGCAATGTTGACCCCTAATATTAACTTACAGAGATAACCTTGGAAATGAACTAAACCCACTTTGCATATCACCTTAAAGTTTAAAGGTCAATAGACAGCTTCTATTAATAATTATGGTTTACACAATGCATCATTACAAAGCCTATAAATATAGGCTTTGTAATGATGCATTAGTTCGTTCGTTTCAGCCAAAGGACGTCCACTGCACAAAGGCTTCCCCCAAGGACTTCCCTAACGACCGGTCCTGCGCTGCCCGCATCCAGGTTCTTCCCACTAAGTTACATTTAGCTATAAGGTACAGCAAATTACAGACTGAAAGAATTATAAATTGAAAGGAATACTCACGAAGAACCAATGTCCCACCAATTCAGGGTGTCCATGTGATAATCCTGTATGTTCTTCACCCGGTTCTTGCAGGCTTTATCGGTGGTGCACATGGGAGTCGCTGTGTGCTGGATGATGACCAGGTCGACTGGCCTCGGCAGGTACTGAACATGGGTCGGTTGCAGGCCCCCCCATTGCTTCTTGGTTACAACGTCGCATTCTGAATTGTAAAATATCGTTCTTCGTGTTATTATATTGGCTGACTGAAACTTATTACATACTAAGTACGATAACTTGCAATTAGCCTAGTCCCCTGGAGATCCCGTTCCAGAATTACCTAATAAAATAGTTACCTTATAGTTTAACAAGCTTAACCTTCACCTCACTTGTTAGGTACAATGTATGTGTCTTAATTATGTTACATCATTGAGTATATCAGGCAATACATTTATAGTTTAACTTCCATGACTGACTAACTGACTAGGTACTAGCATTCGTTCAATAAATTGGAATTCATCACATAAGTAATACAACTACGTTATGCCTAAAATTTAAGATCTGATCTGAATCTACACAAATTACTAATTAAATTAAAATCATATTGGCTGACATTGTCTTAAGTAAAATCTTTAATTTTATTTTCTCACTAATAAGCGTAACAATAATAAATGATTGATTTATCAAATTAATACCAATTAGGTACACTAATCTATGCAAAGTTTTAGTGCCTGCATTAATGGAGATAATTTCTATTAATAATATTTATTTCAAATGTGCGTAAATTTAATTTAAAAACTAACAAAAGAACTTACCTCCTCTCACTAGCTCGCAGAAGCAGATAAAAAAGGCAAAAATATTCAACTTTCGGAACATTTTTAGCTCACACTAAACGACAACTTGTATGCAAAATTATCCCAACACTGACGATGACGCTTACAACTTTACAAGTTAAAGATAACATGGCACCGAGCGGGAATAACCTGTGCCCAGTCGCCTGTCTTACTCACTCACCATACGGCGGAACAAAGACAGATGCAAGTTCGCAAACCTTATGCTCGATACGGCGAAACAATAAAACGGTTACGTATCACGTCACAACAAAAAAGGCCCGGCTCGGTGGAAAGAAAAAGAATTAATTTCCTGATACAAACTGAAGCAAAGAAACCAAACTGTGTACAGTCGCCTTGAAGTTATAATAATCGTTACAATTTTATGCTTCTGATAGTACTGTTATGTCTTGCTCATGCCACTAAGGGAACCCCCTTAATCAGGATATTGATACAGTCTTGCCTTATGCCCCGCATAAGGTCCGTATAATCACCTCATACTCATCACTCCTTTGTAGCCAGGAGTTACAGCTTGAAACCTAGTAAAGGTAGAGTCGACGGCACATCAGACTATGTATATATTTTTCTTGCAATAAAATGCGATAGTGTCAAGCTTATTATTTACTCATCATCATCGTCGTCGTCATTCCAGCCACAGGACGTCCTCTGCCGAACTTAATCCTCCCCCAATTAACTATGAGTTATTTTTTTATAGAACGATGAGTAAATTCTGTTCTGCAAAGTAAAATCGAATTAGAATATGCTTAGTCACTGATATTCGATTTTATGCAAACAGCGGTAGGTATTTGCACTTCATACTCATAAAACATGTCATTGCAATAATAATCTAATAGAAAACGTCACTAACAAACGTAAAATGTTAATGTTATGGACTAAACATTATGGACTATATTTCCTAATTTCTTTAGTAAACTGTAAGTAGCCTTTGTGTCCATTAGATGACTCCATGGGATGACTCATAGCAACACGACTCGTTAGCTCTAAAAGTTCCCCTGTTCTAAATACTATGTATATTTATGAATGATAAGCCAGTTTAAAATTGAAACCTAATGCCAACGACCCATGCTGCCTGCCATGACTGGTGTAATGGATCAAAAATTATGTCTAGCGAGTGGCCCGCGCAGGTAGCAGGGAAGCGCTGGACGCAGGCCGCTACCAATCGATCAACATGGAAAGCATTGGGGGAGGCCTATGTTCAGCAGTGGACGTCCTGTGGCTGAATAATGATGATGATGATGATGAGTGGCCCGCCGCCAGTCGCGTTAACTGCACAATTGGCAGCCGTGACGTCACATCGACGCTCTGGTCCGGAACGGGACGAAGGTAGGGAGAGGTGCGCAGTTAGCTCGATTGAGTTGTAGGCTTAAAAAACTTGTGTTTGTGTATAACACAAGTTTTTTAAACTTACCGGATTGTCTCTACGAAATGCCTTTCAAGAATGTTTTATAGCAGTGACTGCGAACTGTGATTATAATATTAAATAATCTTTAGGCGTCTAGAAAATTGATTGCAGTCGATGTCGCTTATTTTCTGTCGCTAGCCCTAAAATAGTGTACAAAATTCGGATGAAAAGAAATGTGTAGGAAAAATTATCTACTCATATTAAATGCCTGCCGAATGCCTGCTAAGTTATAGACACTCTTGTTGATTAGTTAAATAAATATATCTCATTCTTCAAATTACGAAAAAACTAAACTAAGTCTCTTCTAGCAATTTCATTCCCAAATAACTCCTGTTTTATATAGCCGTGTCGCGCAACTAATTACGTTAAATTTTTGATTTTCGCGCAAAAAGGATACTGAAAATAATGTGAGTGTTGGGGCCTATGGTCCTATTGGGGTACAATGTTTACTCACCTACCTTTCTAGATTGAATATAGTGTTGGGTAATGGAATTGAGGAACTCTGTAGATGTTGAAATGTGTGATTTAGGTACCTAGACTCAGGCCAACGAACTTTAGATCTTCAAGTATTGGATTTGGCCTTCATTCTATCCTATTCAACTTTTGATATGTCTGACAGAAGAATGTCATTTTACTTTGGTATGTTTTCACGATGGAGGTGGTAAAATATTATTATATTCTCAAGGATATTACAAAGAACCTATAAATAAAATAAAATAAATACTATTTACTTTTATTACTTTCTTATTTGTATTTTCCGGACGTTATGGAAATCCTTGGGGGAGGCCTTTGTCCAGTAGTGGACGTCATTTTATTTTATTTTATTTTGTTTTATTCAGAAAACAAACAGCTTACAAATATTTAATTTGGCTTTGAATGAATACATTTGACTGAAACGACGACGACGTCGACTTTCTTATAAACAGTTTGAACTGATGTTAAGTTCAAAACCACCATCATCACAGAATTTTAATAATAACACAAAGAAAAGTTAAATTACATGTACCTAGTAAAAGTATAATAAAAGTATACTAATTTACTCAAATAGAATAACAATACAGAACCAATGAGCTCTATCGTAAATAAAAATTATATGACGGCATGCACATCTAGGTACATGGCTACACAACTACTTACACAAAAACATTTTTTACCAAACTTTCATTTGATATTAATAGTCTGCTGATAGATAATTATTATTTCAGGTCGAAACAATACTGAGAGTCATAATTCCTTCAGGATACTAATTAAGTTACCACAAAGCTGAACTAAACGTCTTTACCGCATCGTCCGTATCTTATGTATTTAGTACAACAATACACATTATATGACTGAAAACTCTATAGAAATATTTAATTCTCAGAAAAGTAACATCTTTGTATAACTTCTATAAACTAAACTAAACTACACTTTGATCTTTTCAAAAGCTTTATTAAGAACGACGAACAACAAACTCGGAAGAACCAAGCTAGTTAACTTAAAACTAAATTGTGCTGTGTCGAGGTATAAAGTTGCTTAATAAACTCTTAAAGACAAACTGTTATCATCTTTATCTCTTAACAATTCTGACTTAAACTGTAATTCTATTATTTGTGTGTAGGTATACCTAATTAAAAATATAACAGAAAATATTCATGTTCAAATCCGGGTATTCAGCTACCAATGGCTTCTATACAGGCAGGTTTTCTCAGACCTTGGAAGTGAGTCCAAAATCTTCACTAAATGAGATCCTGAAACGAGACAAAATCGTTTTTAAGTATTTTTTAATAATTATTTACTCATTACCCTGTAAATTGCTTTATTTATAAGAGTAAAAAGGTGGGCTCTAATTATGGCATCAATAGAGGATCCTGGAATCACATATTATACCTAAGTATTCCATTTAGTAAGTTGGTAGATTTAAAACAAACAATAAAAATCGATGTTACAAAACTTTAAATCCACGAACGAAAAACATATTTTTTTAAAACCGACTGTACTATAATGGATGGATCGGCACAAGCTGTCAACCCGTCCAAATGTCTGCTGTAGGTATTTACACATTTTCAAAACCAAAACACTAGCAAAGCTCGCGTCAAAAAAGTGTGAAATGTGAAAAGTTCTTTGTACCCAGAGTTAGGACAGAAACGGTTTTAGAAACGGTTTTAGAACTCGTCAGTTTATATTCATTCAATACACGTTAAATCCACCGCGTGGCTTTTTTTCTTAGTTCAATGGAATTGGAATATCCAGATCCATTTTAGGTCAACTTTTGTCCCTTTTCAGTGGATATCAATTGAAAGCAATGACTAAATATTCCCAATTGAACTCCCGCAAAAAATCTCTAACTGTCTGTATTTGTTCATATAATTACAAAATAAAAAGTTTTAAATAAATAAATAAATAAATAAATTCTTTATTGAATAACTTATTGACAGTTTTTAACAATAGACTAATATTAAACTATAAATCATCATCATCAGATCATTTAGCCACTGCAGGAGTACTACCCTCTCTTATTTTTTTGAGGCAAAAGGGAAGATTTGGCCTGCATTTATTAATCAAACTTTGCTATGAGCTGCCGCAAATTAGTGTTAGCATAGGCATCGATCACATACGACTGTGGGGATGCATAAATTGGGCATGCAGGTTGCTATTTTGCAAATAGAAAACGCACAACAGGTAAAAATTATGTATATTTGTTACCTATACCTATCCAACACCTAAGAATATCAATACCTACCACCTACCTACCTATAAAATACGAGTATACAATATCCACTAAAAACATTTTCATGTAAAATGTTGCCAAGACGAAATCATAAGGTTCACACCACGAAAATGTCATGTAGAGCCAAGCTTCTAACGCCCGTATTTACAAACATTACTATGAGATCTCACAGTGCGCGTGGACGCATAGGGTGACACACGAACCAATCACAGAGCTCTATTCAACGCTGTGCGTTCGATTTGTTGCTTCACTTAAGCAAGCATTGTTTGTGAATTCGGGCGTAATCTACGCGCCGTAACTTCAAAAACTCTACAACCTTAGTCAAAATTGTTCGATATTTGTATGGTATCCAATACTAGAATAATGATGTACCCACCTACGAAAATGCATCAAGCTAAACTATCTAAATCTAAATATGTGTATATGTTACAGGAAATGTATGAATTCTAGGAATTGTATACTATTCCTAGGAAATGTATACAATTCCGAAGCTATTTAGTAAATGTATAAAATATTGCTTCAGAGATTTTTTAATACGCACATATCCTAGTAAATGTATACTTTTCCTAGGAATTTTATAGAATTCCAATATTGTATTAGGAAATGTATAAAACTAAGCGGCACAAGCGTGGTCGTGTGATCGGGTGCCCCTCAGTACGCCTAAAATTTCATTTAGACAAACCACATTGGCCGATAGGTACTTTTAACTCACAACTATTATTTATTGTTTAGCCTGAAGGTTGTTTTCGCACTATTATACTTTGGCTGAAAAAAATATTTGCCTATTGGCATACCTTTTTTTCGGCATCACGCATATTACGCTGAAGTATTGGAAAACCCTAATTTTAACATCTCTTTTATTAAACTATTATTGGCATGATGGTTTTAGTAATCCTGTAGCTGGATAACAAAGTCTCGGTTAGGTTAGGTTAGACTTGCGGCCTTACACATACACAGCGGCCGCGGCGCAGTAGCGCCATTTAAGTTTCGGAGAAAAAAAAGAAATCTTAATTACATTTCCGATTGCTGTTTAGGAAATGTGTAAATTTCCTAGGAAATGTGTCTAATATAATTTACATCACACATTTCCGGGTGATTTTAGGACTTATACACAAATCCTAGGAATTGTATACAATGACGGATTTCATACATTTCCTGTAACATATATATAACTCAAATGTGACTGACTGACTTACTGACATAGTGATCTATCAACGCACAGCCCAAACCACTGGACGGATCGGGCTGAAATTTGGCATGCAGGTAGATGTTATGACGCATGACGTAGACATCCGCTAAGAAAAGACTAAGCTAATTTTACGAAACTCCACCCCTAAGGGGGTAAAACGGGATTCACGCGTACGAAGTCGCGGGCGGCCGCTAGTTAAATTATATTCATGTATCTCCTGTATTTCATTTTCAGGAAACTGTTTACCTGAAAATGTATTTTAAATTCAAAATATTTACCATTTGAGGCTCATGCAAATATTCATCAACAACATTGTCTAATTATAGATTCTGTTTTCCTCATTACTTACACATAACGCGCAATTCACAGACAAATAATACTTCTACGTCAATTATATGATTGTTATACCATCTTAGACAATGTAATAATGAAATGTAATATATTACACAATGTTATACCTACCTATTTGTAGTTGATTACAGTCGGAAAATCTACCCAAGTATTATTCTATCTACACAAAATCAACTATAACTCTATATGCAATTCAAATAACATGGTAATAATATTTAAGCTACAAGAAAGATCGAAATTTTATTGCGAATTATTTAATTTTCATTAATATTTTAATGTAAGTTTAATGTATACTCATAATTTATATACGCGATCCCAATGTCAATAAAATTGTACTTGTATGTAACTGATCTTCTACTTGATTTTACTACATTTTAATAAGATAGGTATTGTTTCAAACACCCAGGGATCAATCTGTATACGCTCTAGAATTCAAGAATACAAAGACTTCATTAATATGAAGTCTCGATATTATTATATCGAGTTTAAAGCAGACCGTTTACGGGCCCAATTAAAACGAAAACAATTTATCGTTAACTTGTTTTGATATGAGAAAACTCGACGCAAACGTTCAACACGTGCGTTCGGAAAGTTTATATTAAAATTGATGAACAAAATTGACTTACCAGAGCCGGCCAGCGACGAACAACTTCTGCAGTCCAAACTCATTGGCGCACTCATTTCAAACAACCTTCTTTCCTTTTTTGAAGCGGTTCTCCCTTCGGAATATGCGGTCGAACATTTGCCATACAATCGAATGCCTCCTATGAAAGGGATTTGGGTACATCTTGATTGTTCGCTTGAATAATTATTTATTTATTTATTATCGAAGCGTGTGTTGCGCAGTTTGCGAGCAAACTAATGCGGCGAGCGGGCCGTGTCAGTCAACTTGATAGATAAACAGCATCAATACTAAATTATGTCGTATAATTGAGATAATACACCAACCACTGATGAAACTCAATGTGACAACGAATATTGGTTAATGAGTCTCAATATAATAATGAATATTGATTAATCAACATCCTCTCTATTAATTGGAAGAGTAGTACTAACTACAGAGTTAATAGGATTTCTTGATTTTCCCACATTTTGTAGTCATTTATTGTGATATTTGTTTCACTATGTCATGAACCCAATGAAAACGATAAAAAAATCAGGATAACCCGCTTCCAAAATTGCAAACTTATTGACGTCACAATAAATCAGTTATTGACCTAATACCAGCGCAATCTAATTAAATAGAATAACAATGATAACATCTCGTGACACAGAAATGAAGAAATTACTGTCGGGGTCAATATGCCACGCTATTTACGAGTGATGTTAAAGTGGCTGCTTTTTAAATGTAAATAAAAATATACATTTTCCCACTTATTCTTTGGATCCGGGGGCGAACCTCGAGGGAATCTTAATTCCCAATAGCCCTAGTTGATATGTAGTGTAATACACGACTCTCAATTGTTGCTATTAATTTGATTAGAATATTATACGAGTATGCTTGAATGAAAGTGAATGACTATAAAGAAACATAATTCAGTGCATCGGAAGGCTCATTATGGAGTAGCATCGCTTCAGTTTAAGTGAGCCATTTCAAACACCGATGGCGTTTCATAATATCTGACCTCTAGCCACACTGACAAGATGATTGTTTTAACTTTCTCGTCCATATCTCCAAGGAATACAATACAATCTTATGATTCTTCTCCTTAAAATATTGTCAGACTGTACACAGTACTTTAGTATATTTCCGTCTATTTATCAAAAATGATAAGAATTTTTAAGTAATTAGGTAATCTGTTGGTAATTTATTACTAAAACGTGTATAGAATTTTATAATAAAATGAACTGTCTTATGCCCGCGGCTTCTCCCGTATGAATATCGGCTTACTTACTTATGTGCACTAATAAAAATAGTTCAACATGGTAGAGTCGTCCACAGTTTCTAATATCTTATTAATGAATTTTTTAATACCTTAAAGCCACAAAATTTGTACATCAGACGAACTTAAATGTCATTGGACATTCTCTGCCAATATCCTGTCGTTCCACGGTCTAGCAAATAGAAGCTCTATTAGAAAATAAAATTACTACCTAAAAGGCAACAAAATCGAATAACCCGCAAGTGGAGTTTCCATCGAGAGCTTAATGAAAAACTGGCCCGAGCAAATGGATGTCACCAGAGTCAGTTAATGAGTTTTATTATGTCCGAGTCACAAAATAGGTGTGTTTAGTAGTGCCAAAGATAATTCAATAGTGAAACCAACTGTAGAAGTAAAAACAATGAGATTGTGAGACCGACGCTGCTTGTTCCCAACGAGTCACACCAAAACGAGTAACCCTCACTCCCCTACCTACTTGTTAACCTGTATTTTCTTACTGTAAGGTGCTGTAAGCTTTAGATTACTTCATTATTTTGATTTTTTATGTATTTTGTACATTGTTTCTTTATAATTTTTTTCACTGCCAAAATGTCAGAATAATGTAACGTACAACAAACAAGTGTTCCGAATGTGTAGAGCTTACAATGAAATTAGCAAGGATCTAGATGTTTTCTCACTTTCTCGTGCATCTTTTCTTAAATTGTGTAGGTGCAAATTGTAAACTAACATGCATGTATTTATTAGAATTACTGTATCACTTAAATCAAAGCTAGACTAAAACGAATGTTGTGTACAACTACAATCGGAGTGCAAATTAATTGTTAATCTTTGTTCAATGTAGGGGAGCGGAACCGAATATTGGATACGCGCGCAATACTGGATACTCCAATTACTGAAAAAGTAACAACGCTATCTTCATGAAATATTTAAAACCAGTTGGTCAATGCAATGTTAGGGATAGTTTCCTAAACGGCATCGCCATATTTCTCTTTACTTGGCAATCAAATTTTAAAGTGCGTTTTTCGTTCATCGTTTTATTTTTGATATTTACTTCAGGAGGCAATAAAACTATGATAAGTGATGTTTTTATTTGAGTGATAGTACATAATAGCCAGGTATAAAGTTAGTGAAGCATATTAAATGCGTTTTCTCGATAATTGGAATAGGTTAAAAATTTCATAACGGTTTTTGTAAAAAATTGGTAGTTACCTCAATATTGGATACCTAGCTATTCCCAATACTGGGTATCCAGTATAAGGGTACCTAAATAAATTGTAGCATTTATTATTCTTCTGACAGTGTGACATGCATAAAATGCTATTATTTAATAAGGAAATGAGATATTTAAAAGCATCCAAAGCTTTTCGCGGGGCACGATTGCCATTGGAAAGCTGTGAAAAACCGATATAAAACAATAGACCAGTTAATTAAAACGAAGCTAGGACGAAAAGCTACTTTTCATCCTGAAATGGAAAAGGAGCTTATTAACTACTGTTTACTGATGGTCAACAGTTGTTTCAACACTTTGGTTTGGTCAACACTTTCGACGTTCGCAAATTAGCTTTATAACTACCTTACCTAAGTCTGTCGCCATAACAACAATGTTAACAGCATTGTTGTGTTCCGGCAGTTAAAGGTAAGATAGCTAGTTCCTCCGTGGTTGAGGATTCCGGGTGAAGCTCGCTTCCACCTTCGGCCTGATCATCACTTACCATCAGGTGAGATACAGGCCAAGAGCTTCCTCGTTGTAGATAAAAAAAAAAACAAGCAATAAATAACAAAATAATTCAGTTACCTAATAAACTAGCTACCGCAACCATCATCATCATCATCTCAACCATAGGACGTCCACTGCCGAAAATAGGCCTCCATATTAAATTGTTATCCTAATATGGGATATCCGATATTAGGAAGATACAGTGTCCAGTATTAGGGTACACAAAATTTCATGATTGATTTGTGCCATTTTGGATAAATATTTATTTATAAAAATAAATAAAAGAGTTAAGACATAATTTGGTTTACTAACTTAAAGTATAATGATACGCAATAATTTTAAGTGCAATTAATGAATAAATTTTTGAATTTGTATGAGTTTTTTTTTAAGTTTTCAAAAAGTATCCAGTATTTGGTACTTCTCCCCTACTTTATTTTTAAATGATCAAACGAACTTACCAAGTGAAGTTCGATCTAAATTATCCTGTTTTCGCCGAAGAGATTTAATTTACCATGTAGTACCCCTGTACGACAACCCAATCCGCACACAATATTCAGCGCAGTAGTAGTAAAAAACAAAAGAGCGGGCAACAGCAGGATAATTAAGCCATGATTTGCAATCTGTTGCTGTACCTTAATAAATAAATAAATAAATAAATAAATAATGAAAGCTCCTTTAACTGGATATTAAAGGTATTTATTGTTTGTGATCAGTTAAAATTCCCTACGAGTAACAGGGTTACTCGTTTGAGTATGACTCATTGGGAACAAGCACATACTATTATAAGTTCTGATTTCTATGGTGTAGGTACAGTAAAGTTCCGTCTTATCAAATACTTCGATCAGAAATCATAGGTACCACGGCCAGGTCAACCGAATCCACAAAAACCACTACTGAAAGAATCTCCACTGTGCCAGACATATTTAAAATCAGTGGTAGCAGACTAACTGATGAATTATGCATGTATTGCAGACACAACAAGCATAAACCAGATCTAGCTTACCCATCATCGAACTCAAGGTCTTCCAGCTCAGCATGATGTTGTCCCTAATACACAACAATAGCTTCAGGTTTCAAAGTACAGACGACGGCAAGTCAAGGTAAACACTGTGGATTCTTGTGCAGTTGTAATAGGAACGAGTTTGCAACAAAAATTTGGTAGCCTGATGTGCTGTCGAGTGTAGCTGGTATTCTGTTGTTCAGTCAGATCTACGCACTCTTCCAGATTTGGTTCGTCTGCTACTAGGAAATAGAGCCATGGGTGGAAGGAGAGATTCCTCAGCCATCAGACTAAATTCTCCATTTTACACTATTAAGTCTCATACTCCTTTTCATAGACAGATAGTATATGTTTGTATAAACCATATAAGAACAATAGTTATAGTTATTATATTTCCCTAATTTCTGATATTTATGTAGGTTTACAATAGTACAACATTTTCACCACCTTATTCTCTACCATTCACGTGCGTCTTCCTTATTTTTTTTTCCTTCTTTTTTTTTCAAGCAAGAGCTGAAAATCAGTGTTCTGCTCATTTCAGAGCAGTGTCTACACTGAGCTCTCTGCTTTTTTGCATCGCTGCGGCACACTTATACCTTAGCGCGCAGGATTTTCTTTCTTTCTCTTTGTAATGTACTATATCTTTCCTGCTACTCCTGTGTTTATTAATCTTACTTTTTGCTTCTTGTGTGTCAATGTGTTTTGCAAATAAACCATTTATCTATCTATCTATCTATCTAACTATCATTTTCTCTTTGACGGCAGCGTTAATCTTCGTCAACTTCTTCTTCGCCGAACTTCAATTTCATCTAGTAGCTATTAACTTGTCACCTTTAAAATACCTATAAAATATTATAGCATATTAACTCACTAAGGCCCTAAGTGACCCGGTAGTAGAACTGCGGAAGGCAATAGGTATTTTTATGGACTATCCAGCAGTTGGGTATTATTAGTCTCAATCAAATGACATTGATTATTTTCAAATCATGTATGTCATTGCCCTCCTTAGGCGATTATCACACTGCGCCGCGCTCCGCCGCGGTACGCGGGACGACAGATTTAATCATTGTATGCAAGTAACTCAATTTGTATAGAAAACACGTGCGGCACAACACACTGACAAACGCGTCTGCGCGCGGGATTTTTTATATGAAATCACGCAAACCGCGGCGGAGCGCGGCGCAGTGTAATAATCGCCTTAGTGCCTACAAACAGTGCCTAAAATACAGTTATTCATAATTATCTTGCGCATTTACATAAAATACAATGTATTCAATCATAACCCAAAAAGTTTTTGCTTATGTCTAACCCACATAACCTATCCTTATCAAATCGCAAAGTGATCAGGAAGCATAACAATTAATGTTTTATTTTGCATTAATATCTTGTCCAAATGAATCTAATAATAAACGTTGATATTGTTATCTGCTAAGTGCGTCTGTCTGTATAGATAATATTTACACGCGGATAAGGAATAAAGACGATACTATCTTTAACTGACTTCAACAAAAGGAGGAGGTTCTCAATGAGGGCTATCGTTTTTATACTTAACAGTTGGCACCCCTGGCGATTGACAGGACCT